CCCTGCACAGTGCAAAATTCCGGTACTATTTGGGAGTTTTGGTATTGCGAGTCCTGTGTTTGGCTTAGATGGGGGCTTGAATTTGGCTAGTGCTAGTTTATCAAAAATAATAATACTTAGTCTTGTTATTTGCAGGTGTGGGCTTGAATTTAATGTAATTGCTCTTACTTATGAGGCTAGTGATGATGAATTTTATTTCAGGAATATCGTATAATTTGTCCCTTTATTATGTTTTCTTGTTGGTTGATAACTTGTGTTAATCTCCCATTCAACTGATGATGAGAATATTGTATATTTTGCCCCTCTATTATGCAGAACACACTGAGCAAGGAGCTTTCTGCAAGTAACTTTGATTATGCTGGGTATATATTGTATATTTTGGTTTTTTGTGCCTTGTGTTTACACACATGGATGATGTCCTTAGCATTTTCTTGGATGTCGGAGTAGTTTGTTCATGTCTAATGCTAGACATGAGCAAGGAGCATTGTGCAACTAAGTTTGATTCTCCTACTAGTTACAAACTGTAGCCATTAATATAATATCAAGTTGTTGTGAGAATGTTCTTAAGTTTCAGAATTTCCTTTGTTTTCTTGAGGGTTACTAATCAATCCCAGAGTTGAATTGCTTCTTAACTATTATTGTGTTGGCATCTAGAATAGCTTTCGACAATTTCCACCACAGGAGACTTCCTTCAGGTAATTTATCTTTTGGCGAATTCATATTAAATTGTTGTTGGTTACTAATCTTTCCTCTCACTTAATCTTTCTTCTCTCTCTCATCTCTATCTGTCACTCTCACGCACTCTCTCATCTCTCTCTCTCTCTCTCTCTCTCTCTCTCTCTCTCTCTCAATCCCCGAAATGTATTTTCTACCCAAATTTTATTTTTTTCATTAATGTGTTTTTGGAGTTAATTAATTGGGTTTGGTGTGGGTGGAGTTTGGGGTATGCCAATTTTAGGAGAGATTATGCCGATTTTTTGGTATTATTTTATGTTGTTTTTTGGTTATTTGACCATGTTTGTTTTGTTCGTAGGGAATCGTTGAGACTTTGAAGGCGAAAGTTGAGGATTAGGACGCTATCGGACCATATCGCCCACCACTACCACCACATTAGAATTGTATTAGAATTTTATTATTGTACTTTCTTAATTTATGTGTACATTTTTAATATAATATATATTATGGATAATTTGATCACTATTTTTCATATGTAATTTTATTTTGAATATGTCAATTTAAATTAAAGTAATTAAGAAAATAAAGATACAATTAAATTAAATTTAAAAAGTACAAATTCGAAAAATCATGCGCTACCAAATATTTCATCGCGCAAACAATTACTATAACTAAATTAAAATAAGAGAAATAATAAAACAAAAATAAAATGCCTTGCGCAACAAAATATTTCGTCTCACAAACAATTAATTTCGTCGTGCAAAGTATTAAATTAATTTAATTAAATAAAAAATAAAAAACCAAAAACTTTGCGTGACGAATATTTGTTTTTGTCGCGCAAACCCTATCGTAACGAGTTTTGCTCAACCAATCATGCGCACCAAAAATTTCATCTTGCCAGATTTTGAGTGACAAAATCATACTTTGCACAATAAATCTTATTTCGTCGCGTAAAGTGTTTTTTTATAGTAGTTTATATTGTGTCACTGTGATTTGAACAGGGAGATTGAACTTTATTTGGAATGCGATTCAGTGCTCATGTTATGAATAGTGTAATGCTTGAATATTATTCATATCTCAGAACCACCTATGTCTGTGAGTATGATCGGCAAAATATTTTTCTTAGAACTACAAAAAGGAGAGATATTATGGCAACATGTGTAAGTTTATATTTGATGCAGTAAGAATTGGGTGTTTATTTAATTTTTTTTTTTAGTACATCGATATTTTTACACTAAGGGGAGGGGGAGTTCAGTGAAACTATACAATGGGCAACCTAATTTGGTATCGAATTCACCATCCACGAGATTCGAACCGAAGACCTCTCCCTAAGAATTGGGTGTTTATAAATACACGTTATAACTTAGTAGAATAATTTGTTGAAATATCCCACATTGATTATATCTATGTGAAAAGAAGAGTTTAAACATCTCAACCTCACTCCAACTAATACCAAGACCTTTTGTGATTATACCCCACATCTGACACATTGAAAAAGATGTTTTTGCTTTTATTTATAATGAGCCTATTATACCATGCTTTTCATGACATAAAACCTCACCTACAACAATTACAACTTGTTTGTATTCATCATTATGAAGTTAATATTGTCTACTATGTCTTAAAGGTTTGGTTGTCTAATATTTTTTGGGACCTTTTGCCCTTTTCATCCCTTTCCCGCCCTTCAATTCCTAACTTCGTCACTGGCTATGATTGAACCCGTATTGAAGTACCTTTCTTCGCCGCCCTTCATCATCTCTTTTTACAAGTAATTTGTCACTAATTATATAAAAACAACTAAAAATTAGATAATTATAAAAATAAAAATAAATGCTCTTGGTTTCAACTTTTTCCAACATTTATCCATCAATCAACCAAATATATTGAACGATCTATTAGTTGAGAGTGATAAATAAGAGAGGACAAAGAAATTAAGAAAAGAGGATAATGGCCTCAAAGGATTGGTAAATGTTCTTAATTCTTCTTCATATGTATATATTAGTCTCATAATAGATTATCAATAATATGATTCAAATTCACTTCTGACGAAAATCAAACCCAAAACATCTCACTTACAAGTGAAAAGAAATATCACTAGACCGCAATACTAAATTGCTCTTCATACATAAATTTGTTCCAATGTGATTCATCCTTTAGCCATCATACATACTTTTGAAAAACATTAAGCAATAGGAAATTGAAACATTTATTTCAGCCAACCAGAAATTGACATATTATGTGCCTATACAAATTTTGGCAATGAATGTAACAATTTCTTCCTATGGGACAGAGATCCCAGTCGGATCTCCCCCACCAAGTCCTAAGAATCCAGAGATTTGGACTAATGAAATTTGATTTAACAGTTACAATTATTATCATTTTTAGAAAAGCTCTCATATTTGTAGTCGTTTGATCAAATTTCAATAATTTGGATCTCCAAATGCTTAAGATTTGATGGGCTGAGATCTGGCTGGGCTCTCTGTCCGTTCCTATGTTACGTCCACCACTATTTCTTTTTGAATTATCTTTTGTTTTTGGTAAACAAATTATTTGAGGCTGCTATGATTATTATGCCACGTGGCAAATCGTTTGTGGCTGAGTTCATTTCTTTTGGCTGAGTTTGTTTTTCCCCCAAAACATGCCGAATTTAGTTTTGTTTATTATTTTTATTTTTCACCTTTGAACCTCATCCACAAACTCTTTCTTTCGAGGTTACATTCGTAGTGGAACGAAATCCACTTTGGATCTTACACTCATGCCCATGGACCGAGCACTTTACACCATTCATTTTAAATTATACAATCTTTATTAGCTCATTTTACTTTCACAAATAATCTATTTTTAACATCCAGACATATCTCGGACAATGGTTTTAATATTTATTTTGTAAACGACCTATACTATATTAGAAAAACAAAATTTGTCCCTTTTTTTAGTAAATTTGCTACGTTCATGTTGTAGACTTAATTATGGTATGTCATGTGGCATGGCTTTTCCTCATGTATTGGAGAGCAACGCTAAACTCGTATTATTGATACAATGTTATTTACAAAAGCAATTTTACACATTATATTACCCCATTAGCACAAGTCATCAGAATAGTAGTGTATATGAGTTATGAAATCTTTTTCCATGTAAAAAACTATAACATGTAAGGAATTTCTCACAAAGGAAAGCTTCCCGCGAACTTTTATCTTGGTATACTTTTATTGAAGTTTAATTTGGATTGGCGACTCTATTGGATGATCCTCTAGAGCAAACCAGCCAAGGCAATGAGTCACTCTATTGGATTGGCGACTAACATGGCCAAAACAAGTTTCAGAGATCCGTATCCTGTGTATCTAATAAATAATATGAAACTTACGAATGATTAGTAAAGTCGTTTACATGGATTAATAACTTAATACAACAGTGTGAAAAATATCATGTCGCAATTGATGTCGTTTTTGTTTCATGATATTCAAGTTTGAAATTTGGAAATTCATCTTCTGTATAATCTTATGAGGTTTGATGTCTTATTCCAAAAGTAATTTTTGATGTACTGTATTAAGATGAAAGGTTGAACAAAGAACTGTATCAATTTGGTGGCAATCCAAGATCCTTTGTCATGTTTCTCTCTCATTTATGTCGGCGCCCTATGAACGGTCCGTTCTATGTCCACGGGGCAGCTTGCGCAAACCGCGTTCGCTGTTCCGTACAGTATACGAGTCACCAAACCCCTAAAAGGATCCTCTTAGTGGGATCACAGATATTTATGAATCGTGTCCGCTCATTGTATATTGTGTTTTCAGTTTTTATCAGGTTCGAAGTGATTTATGACCTCATAATGTTCGATAAACGAATTCGCAAATTTTCACAAAGAAAATCCAAATACAATCCGGATTCAGCAAACCCAACCGGCGACCGACGCGTTTCCCGGGTTTGTTTCCATTACCGACTCTTCAAACGCTACGTCATCGGGGGGCCCACAGTGCACAGCTGGAGGCGCTTTTACGGACGTAGCCTCAGGAGTCAGGAGGATGAGTTTGTGGATGAGAATCCAGGATTAAAGACGGAAAAATAATTAAAAAAAATGCGAAATAGAAAAAGCAAAAAGCGGATGTGTGGGCTAGAGCCTACGACGCACTGAGCCGCTAAGTGGTCGACACGTGTCGTGATCCTGAGGCACGTCGTGGGAAGGAGGGAGGCTGTGAGGCTTCGGCAGCCTCAAATAAATAAATAATTAATTAATTAAAAAAAAAGAAAAAAATGGGTGGAAAATAATTTGTGGCTGAGATTGCTCGTTGCTCTCAACAACTGGAGCTTCTGGGAGCTTTGGTGTTAGGTCTCTCTGACTGAGAGCGCTTTCTCTCTACTCACCCAAACTCTCATTGTTTCTCTCTCTTTATTATACTCTTTCTGTGGAGGCTCTTGGATTTGGTTTTTGGTTTTTGAGTTTTCGAACGGTTCCGATCCAGTCGCCATTGCCGGAAACTATGCCTTCTCCGGCGAGTGTCCGGTGAGTTACCGGACTCTGTCAGTCGCTCTTCTCGAATAGAAAGCTCTGAATCCGCCATGGATGTCTCAGAAGGTACGCTTTCGTTTTCTTTTGGAATCGACCTTGTTCTTTACTCTCCGTTTGGTTGCTGATGAGAAAATTCAACAATTTTATCAAAATTAACGAATGAATGAGTGAAAGATGAGCTTTTGAGCTTCGTTTCCGATTGAGAAACCGACTCGGAAGTTCATCTGAGCTGAGGAAGTGGCGAATAAGCTTCGATTTTGAACAATTGAGCTGAATTTTCTGGCTTGATTTGATTGATTTTCTCGGCAACCAAACGGATGTCTTAAGAAATGGCCTGTTTGTTTACTGATCGAACTTTCTCTCTCTTATTGTTCGCCATGTTTGTTCTTGCTTCGTAGTTAAAGGTTTTGGCGTGTACCGGTTCGTTTTGGTGAGGATTCTGAATAAAGAAATTTATTTTTGTACTTTCGGAGAAGCGTCCATCTAGCTCTCTCTGTGTTGCGGTGGAATCTGAAATTTTAATTCGATCACTTGTGCTTTCGATTCGGTTTTCGATTTCTTTTACTTTCATGTGAAAATTGGACTGCTTAATTCTACTGCTTTAGAACCAGAGACGGATCTCTACCGATTGCTGTGCCTTATTTTTCTTTTGCAGTAGCTGTAGGAGTAGAATCACCACTTTCTCGGCCTTTCTTTAGTAGTACAACCGAGACGGCTTTACTCGTAATAGCTCTCGGTGCTTTTACAAATGAGAGAAGGTCCTTGTTCTATCCATTGCTCGTCAGGGAGGATTTGAAGCAGCGCGAGCTACCCGGTTCCGGTAAATGGACACAAACTCATCTGGAGAAGACCTTTTCATCAAGGTAACCTAGGCTGGAGTCTGCTTTGTTGAAATTGGAAGTATATTAGTGAGGGCTAAGTAGATGAATCATTGGATTTGAATGTGTATTAGTGAGTGCTAAGTAGATAGATTATTGGATTTTTGTTAATGGTAGGCACGAAAGCCTTATACGATTACCAAGCAACGAGAGCGATGGACAGAGGAGGAGCATAATAGGTTTCTTGATGCCTTGAAGCTCTATGGCCGAGCATGGCAGCGCATTGAAGGTTCCAATTCATTAGCTTTAATTTGGTAGTATCCCTTGAGTTCATTTCTATACTTACAGCTATTGGGAAAGGGCTGCAAGTGGATTGATTTTTATTTATGAACTGTATTTCTTATTAGTCTCGAGCTGAATCTGCTAAATATCTTTTGTTAGAAATGACTCGAAACCTTATTTTTGACGTTTTTTTCCTTATTTGAGACATCATCTTTCTCCTCTTCTCCCCCCTTTTCTTCTGTTTTTGTTTAACAGATCATATTGGAACGAAGACTGCTGTGCAGATCAGGAGTCATGCTCAGAAGTTCTTTTCAAAGGTTAATGGGTACCTTCTCGCCTTATGGTTATTTGATATGTACATTTTTTATTCCGATTGCTTGGTTTTCCAAAACATTGATCCTTTCATTTGCACTACTAGGGTTTTATAAAATGCAGTTGGTAATTTGTTTTATAATAACAGGTGTCACATTTTTCTGTTGCCGTGACTATAATCATCCTGTCATCTCATTTAGCTATGAAATACTATGAGGACCGTTACAGATTCTTGTAAATGCTACTCTAGTAGAGTGCATTTGTTCATTCATAAGCTTGCTAGCCATGCTAAATTTGATAAAAAGGATAGACCAGTGCATATGGTTCCCATCAATATGAGGTCTGGAAAGGGTAAGATGTAGCTGCCCGTACCAGAGTTTTCAGTGATGCTGTTTTTCCATGACGCAAACCCTCAACCATCAGTAGTTTGGGGCAAGCCATACATTGGGTGAAAATGTTATCTTTGCATTTTTAATGCTTATGCATGACATATCAAATGTACTGTGAATAGACTGAAATAAAATTTCAAACTTGAACAAACACGGCTATTAGTTTTTTGAGTTTTGAGGGTAAGGGAATTTAGTTTAGCTGCATGGTTTCTTGCTCATTCTCACTCTTTGTCAAGAAATTCCTCTACAATAGTTTATCTCCAAAAATAGGTCTTAATGGAAAATTTGGAAAGAAACTTTTGTTAAAAAATGGAGGCCAATTGTTATGATGTTGTCAAGGAGATTTCAGCAGTATACGATAGGTCTTAGATATAACATGATAAAGTCTTTATCGACCGTCTGACTGTCCATATTCCATCTACAGTTAGGAAAATATCGGTGGATGGACTGTTTTTTTAATACCCTGAAGATGTTAGCCATGAAACCAAAAAGTAAAAGATGTCAGTTAGCGCCTTAGTGAACGTTTACTAGTCATCCACTCTAGGGGATGGCTTGACCTTATAGAAAAGGGCAGCCTTGAAAGTTTGGAAAGCTATATAGGTTGGTCTCGCATCATTATACCTATGCAGCCATCTGTACAGATCAGTAACTGGGAAGTTGCAATATATCATTTATGTCAAAAGACCACAAGCAAATTATGGACTATGATGTGTACACTAATTATTCTCTCTGCATACTCAGAGTGATGTTTGCTAACTAAAAACCGACACTTATTACACGAATTAGCTTAAGATTGACTGGTCTACGACAACTTTGATTCATGCATAAGCCTTCTAGGATGTTTATTAGGTGTGGATGGAAAGGCACACGATTTTTATTCTTACTACAGTCCGTTCGAAATTTTGGCTCAACTACAGTGGTTACTCTTAGGTTTCAATGAAAGAAAACTTTACTGTTAGGTTTAAAGGTGAAACAGAGAGTACAGTTTGGGGAAATATATAGCTTTTTGGTCTTTTATGGGTATAGATGTATAGTGGGAGTAATATGAAAAAGTCGCTATGGACCTTATGACTCTCCCCTCCCCTTGGAACATTTTGTTAGAAAACGATGTAATACGCAATCTGCAGTTGGGAAAATATCAATTAATGGATTGTGTGTTTTTTTTTTCATGCTGTGAAGATGTCTGTCATGGTCCTTACTGAGCGTTTTCTAGTCATTCATTTTAGGGGAGGGCTTGACCCTAGGGAGTTTGAAAAACTATATAGGTTGCTCTTACATGATCATACTAGTGCAGCTATCCGTAGTTCGGTTACTTCCATACATATCAGTGACTGGGAAGCTGTTGCAATATACCATTTATGTGACAGGCTAACATCAAATTTTGGACTAAAAAGTGATGGCACTTGGTAGATGATTAGCGTAGATTGATCTGTCTACTAGGACTTTGATTAGGTGATTGGAAGGACACATGATTTGTTTCCGACTACACTTTGGACAAGCTTTAAACTTAAAGACACGGAAATTAATTCATCAGGCAGCAGAGATAAACAGAAAGATCTTTGCTCCAGTACCTCCATCGTACTTGGTCTCATAGCCACCTCAAATCTTTTTGAAACCGTGAATATGATCATTTACTGTTTCTAATGCTTATCTGTACTATATGAATATTTAAGTTTCCATTTGTTTGGTATCAGATTTTAGAAGCTATAAAGGAGAAACAAATATCGTATACAAATTTATTTGGTAGGTAAACAAAAGTAAATTCTGGGGGACCATGTTAGATGTTGTTGTAAATTGGTCAGTCCCAATGAATTAACATGCCATCAACTTCCTCCGATTATTGTTGTATCCTCAATTGGAACTCATCTCTCATCTGAAACATAGAGTTCAATTTATTGAGGGTATCAATGGACGTCACCCTTTTAACTTTACAATGGAGTTGTTCCAGAATGGTCTTGATTGGAACTTTAGGGCAAAAAGCTTCTGCTCTTATTCAAGACTTTCCAGTGTCGTACATTTTAGCCGCTTACTCATGGATAGTTGAAAATGACTTTCAGTTTCAATCCATCGTCCTCTTCATATTAACACTCCTTAACCATACCATGAGGTCATTATCCTCTTTCTTTCTCCTCTTCCACCTAGAGACTAGAGTACACATTTCTTAAACATTGTTACACATTACATTGATATGCACTAGTTTTTTCTGGGTCTACAATTTCTGTATGGTTATCACATACATATTTCAGAAAAGAAAAAAAAATGGGTTAAATTTTTTATTCTCGAGCTCTTCCAATTTCACCTGAGTAATTGAGACATTTCGCTCCATTCCAATAATTCTTATATCAAACTTTGAACATGAATACTGACACAAACAGGTTTTGCTTTCAGCTGGAGAAGGAGGCACACAATAAAGGTGTTCCAATGGGACAATCAATTGACATAGATATCCCGCCTCCACGTCCCAAGAGGAAACCAAGCAATCCTTACCCTCGAAAGTCTAGTTCAGCTGCCACGACATTGACCACTCCGCATGTGGGAGCAAAGGATGGAAAACTTTTATCTTCAGCATCTTCTTCACACTGTCCACAAGTAGTGGATTTGGAGAAAGAGTCACCTCATGAGGTTATTATTTATATTATCCATTTTTTCAATCCGCAGACTTTTTATGTTCTCACGGTTCATGTTATAGTACTTAATCTGCAATTTCCTTATCAGAGACCTACTGAAGAAGAAAATCCGAAAAATGGAAAAGAAAATCAGGATGAAATTTGCTCAGAAGCCGTCACTTTGCTCCAAGAACATAATTGTTCCTCTGATTCTACTGCAAACAAAAATTCTCTACCTACACAGGTGGTGCTGAGAAATGCTTGCACTTTTCAGGAGTTTGTGCCTTCGCTGAAAGAGGTAATAAGTCAAGATGTAACAACTGAATCTTATGTTACTATTGAACTTAATGGAAATCAGAATATGAAGAAAAATGATGCCAAAAAGATAGTTCAAGTTAATGGCACAAGTGGAGCCTCAGTGTCAGAGAACACTAATGCTCTTCATAAGAAGTTGGTTCAAGGTGAGAAAGCAGATGATTTGAATTGTGCATTGCCAACAGATGGGATGCAAGGCACTCAGAACTACCCAAGGAATGTTCCTGTACATGTACTGGATGGCAGCGTAGGAGCGTGTAATCAAACTACACCTGCAGATATGTCATTCCCTGACTCCGGTTTCCATCCTATGGGGAAGGTTCATGGACAGCCTAACCTATTTGCAAATCCAGCCGCATCTACTACTACTGAACATGAAAGTAATGCATCAAGATCTACTATTCACCAATCGTTTCCAGCTTTTCACCCTCCCTTCACACCATTCCACCATGGTCAAAAGGACTACCAATCATTTCACCACATTTCCTCAACATTTTCTAGCCTTGTTGTGTCGTCTCTGCTACAAAACCCTGCAGCCCATGCTGCGGCTAGCTTTGCAGCCACATTTTGGCCTTATGCAAATTTGGAAAATAAGGAAGACTCTCCTGCATGCTCCTCTGCTGGAGGTTTTCCACTGAACCCCCCTCCAAGTATGGCAGCAATTGCTGCTGCCACTGTAGCTGCTGCAACTGCATGGTGGGCAGCCCATGGATTGCTTCCCTTGTGCGCTCCTGTTCAAACTTCTATGAGCTGTCCTCCCATGCCCATGACTGGGGAGATTCCGTCTGTGAATACTGATCAAGATCCCGCAGTGATGATAGAGAGAGGCGAGAATTCTCTTCAAATTCCTTCTGTGGAGGATCAACAATTGGAGCCGGAACACTTGGAAGCTGTGGATGCTCAGCATTTAGCTTCACAATCACCAAACAGGTCATCATCGCACTCTGATAATGGAGGTGCAGAGCCAAATACAGAATTGAAGTCTGCTGATGACGAGAAGGCTGTAGCATCAACTGCTCAAGTTAATGATTCAGACAATGCAAAGAGTAGAAAACAGGTTTTCTTTGATATTGTTCGGTTGCATAGTACTGACTACTAGTCCTCCTTTCAATGCTTTGTACCCTTCATGTATTTTCAATAAAACGTGTGTTTCTTATTAAAATAATAAACAAATGTCAGGTTGACCATTCTTCGTGTGGCTCCAACACACCTTCCGGCAGCGACATAGAGACGGATGCATTAGAGAAGCATGAGAAAAGCACAGAAGAACCAGAAGAACCAGAAGAACCAGAAGAACCAGAAGAACCAAAAGAACCAAAAGAACTTGATCTAAATCTGTTAGCATCTGATTCTAATTATCGTCGCAGTAGAAGTATCAGCAACATCAATGATCCATGGAAAGAGGTTTCTGAAGAGGTAGTTTAACATCTATCTGAAGCAATCGATTTTGATCAATCTTTCGTTTTTTTTTTTTAATCAATTAGTCTCTTATCACGTTAAATACCTTTGTTAGGGACGGATGGCCTTTCAAGCGCTATTCGCAAGAGAGGTACTGCCCCAGAGTTTTTCACCGCCTTCACACTGCCTCACAGTTAATGAGCATCAGTATGCTACAGAAGCAGCAAATCAAAATTCTGACGAGAAAGATAGGAATGCATCTGCATCACAATTTGACTTGAAATCATGGATGTCATTTCCGTATCCTCCAGAAGCGGAGAAAAGTGTGTCACCAGCACGAGGCAGCAACACTGAAGGGCTACTGACACTAGGACTTAGCCAAGGGAAACTCAAGGCCCGTCGAACAGGATTCAAGCCTTACAAGAGGTGCTCCGTAGAGGCCAACGAGAACCGGGTGGCCAATGCCAGCAGCCACTGCGAAGAGAAAGGCCCGAAGAGGTTACGCTTAGAAGGGGAAGCTCAAACTTGACATTCCATATTGCGTGCAAAATCAACGGAAACCTTTGTTTTTGCACGCAGGTTGTATTTTCCGCTCCTTTATATAGTTCGTTTGTGTTTTAATTTCGAGTCCAGCAGATCAGAAACTTGTCTTTGGCGTGTGTACCATAATCTATATACATTTGATCGTTTCACTATCTCGAAGCTCTGCAACTGCAGTTGTAGACTCGCGTAATTAGACCCTCGATAAAGATCATTTCAAGTGTTTGATTGATGGACCTTGATGATTACATCTTTTATTTGTATTATTAAGAGAAATCCTTGATGCACAAGTAATTTTTGGGAGTTTATAGATGCTTTTTTTTGACGATTTTACTCATCATCGCTATTGAAATGCAGCCTGCAAGGTTGCCCAGAAACCCTCGTGTTCTTGCGAGTTCAATGGAACACGCATTTTGTCATGTCATGTGAGGAGCTTTTGGACAGAGACATGTTTTCATAGCCATTTCAAGTCTGCTAAATTGCTGATGCCCTAACCCTAACTTTAGATCCCTTATTCCTTTACCCCTTGTGTGTTTCTTCAGCTCATTTTATAGTTGTAGAAAATGGGTTGTGGGTTTACATGTTGATTTCAATCCCTTTGTAAGTAAAAATATAATGTGTTTTATACTAATATTATGTTTCGGGCTAACTACATTTAACACCCTTTAAGTTTAAAATGGTTTTCATACTGAGTTACGTGATTCCTATTTTCTTACTTTGCACAAGGTTTTGGAATTGTATCAATTTATTCGTTCTGTCTATTTGAACATCCAATCTTCCTAAAATGGATGAGTTTCTTTTCTCAAATGTGGAACAAATATGGCTTACGTGTCAACTCATCATATCTCTAAAGAAGATGTCAAATTTTAAATATAAAATTTAAATTTGAAAGGCTATGTGGGTAGTCTGATGTTTTTTAAATTTTCTTTGTAGCGGATATGTCAAATTAAACTATTATTCATTATATTATTATTTTTTCTAATATAATAAATATTTTTTGTGATGACCCGTCCCTAATCTTCCATGTAATTTCTATGTGAATTGACATTTTTGCCCCTGTTGGCAAGTGACGTGGACATGTTTATTCGCTCTTAAATTATTTTTCTCGCTATCATAATTAAATATTACCCGTTGATACAATCGCCTGAGCGAGAGTTTGACCCGAATCGGATTTGCAATGAAAAAGTTACGTCTCATTAAAGTACGTAAACACGGGTAGAATTGTACACACGTGTGTGCTAATTTATCAGTGTTAAGAACATTGATTTTCTAAGCACTTTTTACTGTTTAAGTCTGAAAACCCTATCTCCTTCTTTCTTTAAAATTGGACCCATGCCATTTGTTTTTTCACCAATCAACATCTATCCCTCTCTCACGCAACCAATCAGAAACCCATTCCCATTTTTTGTCACCCAATAAGAATTCACTTCACTCCCTCTCTCTTCTTCTTCCTTCTCTCTCTAACCCTAGCTCTCTTTCCTCTGCAACACTCAAGAACGACATCAAACAATCACAGATTGAGACTTAAAATACCACCATCGTGATCCTCTCATCCTCACGAACTCAACCATACCAACCGATTCTCGAATGGTTGAGTTTTAAGTGGTCAACGCAGAGCAACTCAGGAGCTCCGACTCGGTCGAGTTGGTATCGTCATGATCCCGACCGAGTTACAAGATTTTAGGATGTGGGGAAGCTTCTACTCAACTCCCTGGGGTCTTTAGTGAAGGTTTGAGGAAGCTTTGACGTGAAACAACCCGATTTTGAGAAGTCAAGGTTTTGACCAAACCTTGCAAGGCTTTTTCAGACCATTTCCCGTCCATTTTTGGACTTCCAAAAGTATAGATTTGTTCTCCTCATCACGAGCTTCATTTCCATATAAATTTCGTGAAAAATAGTTGAGAAATGAGCAAGATATTAAGGTAAATTTTCAGAAACCGACGAACCAAACGATGGTGACCAACGATGACCACCTGAGAAGACGACGGAATATCCTAACGATGTTAACATTTAATGGAATATTCTGTCACTTTAACAAAATATTCTTAACGGCCGTTAAGGCCTCCATCAGTCTTTGCCTACGCGTATGGCCGTGGGTTGGACAGCGCATGAGGGCGTGTCTGGTCTCCGACCGGTGAGTGGTTGACACGTACAGGTTTGTGACTTCGAGTAGAACATTTTTCGTATATTCAAACCTTCCGTTTGAGCAAATTATGGGGAGTTTTTCCTAGCTTTTATGTATATGTGTTATTTAGTTAATTTTTATTAGTTGTTTCGCATATAGGGGAGACTTACCCTAAGGACATACGTGGATAAGCGAGACTAGGGGGCTACGATCCTACGACATACCAATGAGTGGGCACTTTGTTTTCATATATTTATATATTGTATAGTTTCCCTAAATGCTTTTAAAATGAATTTATGCATATTATGCCACAAGTTATTTATTTGTAAAAATACTGTTTGTGGTTGAGTTTTATATTGTCATGGCATTTCATATGCATTTTACCTGCTCATAAATATTATATTATTAACTCCGCCTATGTCTTACATGGCCGGTCCCAAGCCCGGATAAAGGAGGAGGGGGAGGGCGTCAGGTAGTCGACAGCCGGCACTCCATGATCACGTCGAATCCTTATGAAAATGAATCCATAACAAAATCGCGCTAAAGCTAGGGCGTCACCCGTAAGTGGCGCGCTGTGTGGCCTGAGCACAGTGATAAGTGAGCAAGGGTCGCTGTATCTCCATCGGCACCCGGATGCAGTGTTAAATGAGCAAGGGAGCCATAGAAACTTCTTTTCGAACGACTCCACTCAAAGTTGTTTGGGAGCATATGCTCCTATCAACTTTACCCGGGACACACAAAAGAAGTACTTTGATCCTATTAGACGGGGGAGGGTGAAGAAGCTAGGACAGAAGGGTAGAGTTCAAGAGAGCAAAATGCGTTTAGGAACGTGGAATATAGGAACCTTAACGGGAAAATCTATGGAAGTAGTGGAAGTTATGGTGAGGAGAAGGATAAATATTATGTGCCTACAAGAAACTAAGTGGGTTGGTAGTAAGGCAAAGGATCTAGAAAACTCAGGGTTTAAAACTTTGGTATTCGGGCACAAATAGAACGAGAAACGGTGTTGGCATCATCGTGGACAAGACCTTGGTACAAGATGTTGTAGATGTCAAGAGGGTAGGAGATAGAATCATGGCAATCAAGATTGTAATAGGACAAGAACTCATCAATGTGATTAGTGCGTACGCACCTCAAGTAGGGTTGGATACGAGTTCGAAGGAGAAATTTTGGGAAGATCTTGGAGACTTGGTGCAAGGAATTGCTCAGACGGAGAAGTTATTTATAGGAGGAGATTTAAATGGACACGTGGGCAGGGAGACAGGCAACTATGGAGGTTTTCATGGTGGCCATGGTTTTGGGGAGAGAAACGAGGATGGGGAAGCTATCTTGGATTTTGCAATGGCATATGATCTCTTCTTAGCCAACACCTTCTTTAAGAAAAGAGAAGAACATGTGATCACCTACAAGAGTGGGTCGTCAAAAACACAAATAGATTTTCTTCTAATGAGGAAAGGGGATCGTATAACTTGTAAGGATTGCAAAGTTATACCAGGAGAGAGCGTGGCTAATCAACATCGCTTGTTGGTGATGGATGTACATATCAAAAGAGTAAGACAAAAGAACAAGACTTGGAAGTGCCCAAGGACTAGATGGTGGAATCTAAAAGAAGAAAAACAAGCCATTTTCAAAGAGAAGGTAATCACGCAATGTGTGTGGGATAGAGAGGGGGAAGCTAGCCAAATGTGGGATTCCATGGCTAGTTGTATCCGAAAAGTAGCAAAAGAGGTATTAGGAGAGTCCAAGGGCTTTGCCCCACACCAAAAGGAATCTTGGTGGTGGAAATGAGGAGGTACAAACAAAGGTGAAGGCTAAGAAGGAATGTTGTAAAGCCTTATACAAGGAGAGGACTGATGAAAATGGTGAAAGGTATAGAAAAGCGAAGCAAGAGGCGAAGAAAGCTGTCAGAGAAGCTAAGTTAGCGGCTTACGACGATATGTATAAACGACTAGATACCAAAGAAGGAGAGTTGGATATCTATAAACTATCTAGAGCAAGGGAAAACAAGACAAGGGACCTAAACCAAGTGAGGTGCATCAAGGATGAGGATGGAAAGGTTCTTGCTACAGAGAACGCGGTTAAAGACAGATGGAGAGGTTATTTTCATAATCTTTTCAATGAAGGACATGAAATGAGTGCTTCTTTAGGGGAGTTGAGTAACTCAGAAGAGTGTAGAAACTACTCTTTTTATCGTCGAATCCGGAAGGAAGAAGTCGTTGTAGCTTTGAAGAAGATGAAGCATAAAAAAGCAATAGGCCCAGACGATATACCAATCGAAGTGTGGAAACTTTTGGGAGAGACAGGTATAACATGGCTCACTGACCTTTTCAAATAGGATTTTGAAAACGAAGAAGATGCCAAATGAGTGGCGAATGAGCACTTTGGTGCCTATCTACAAGAATAAGGGCGACGTACAAAATTGCATGAACTATAGGGGTATTAAGCTAATGAGTCATACAATGAAGCTCTGGGAGAGAGTCATTGAGCATAGATTGAGGCAAGAGACACGGGTTTCGGACAACCAATTCGGGTTCATGCCAGGGCGCTCAACCATGGAGGCAATCTATCTCTTACGAAGATTGATGGAAAGATATAGAGATGGATGGGAAAAAGGATTTACACATGGTCTTTATAGATTTGGAAAAAGCGTATGATAGGGTCCCAAGAGACATTCTTTGGAGGATTTTAGAGAAGAAAGGAGTACGAGTAGCATATATCCAAGCTATAAAGGATATGTATGAAGGAGCAAAGACTGCCGTAAGAACTCATGAAGGACAAACCGAAAGCTTTCCCATAACTGTAGGATTACATCAAGGCTCATCCTTAAGTCCTTACCTTTTTGCGTTGGTAATGGATGAGTTAACACGACATATTCAAGATGATATTCCTTGGTGTATGCTTTTCGCAGACGATATAGTGTTGATAGATGAAACTCAGGAAGGGGTAAATGCAAAGCTTAACCTTTGGAGAGAAGTGTTGGAATCTAAAGGTCTTCGCCTAAGCCGATCAAAGACAGAATATATGGAGTGCAAGTTCAGTGCAAATGGAGGCCAAAACGAGTTAGGGGTGAAGATCGGAGATCAAGAAATACCAAAGAGCGACCGTTTTCGTTACCTAGGATCTATCTTGCAAAAGAACGGAGAATTAGATGGAGATCTCAACCATAGAA